ACTACATGTATTTTTCATGCAACAGATAAAAATTTCACGCCGATAATTGCTGAAATCTTGCCAACTCGGCGTTAAGCAAAATTCAATCAATCAATAATTTGTACATGTATTTATTTTTCTACATTATGGATAATAGACATTTGATGAAAAGGGGGGGGGGGTCAATAATGTAAAAACATAGTGGCTAATTTTTTGTCGAGCTATCCGTTCAATTATTCAATTACAACCAAGGGAGAATGATGTGGAGGGAAAAGTGGGTGTATATATATGAACTAGCAATTTTCGAAGGTGAAAGTCGCTGCAGTAGAGACGGTTTTAAGGGGGGGGGGGTCCTAATAAAATGAGCTTACTTTAAGACATAAGGGTTAGTATTACACCATGTTTGATTTCACGTGTCACGATGGATGCGATTTTTTTATTTAACTTAAGAATAACCATTGAAGCATGATTTATGTTGTGATTTTATCGGCTGCATGGTTCATGTTTTTTCTGTAAGAAACTATATATTTCTGAGATCGAATTCGAATCCCTGTAAATTTTGACTGGATCTTATTGGTTCCCTTTTTTCTTTACATGGTGATTACGTAAAATAAATAAAGTGTTAACTAACTTGCATACTTTGAGGATACAGGCTTTATCAAACGTAAAAGTAGCATAGTTTAGATCTATATTTTGTTTATTGGAAGTTCAGTATCCACTTTTTAAAGGATTTAAAATACAGTTAACCCATTTTTGGGATTGTACATCATGATCATCTGTTTTTGTCATTTATTTAGCAATTCTTTTAACTTAGATATAATGACAGCTTGGATTGCAACGCGTTGACAGGTGCCCTACCGAACAACTGAGAATAAACCATGACGTCACAATTGAAACGTGAAAAAATCACGATATGCTCAGAGATAATTTTGCAAACATACCAATTTCAAAATATGATATCTTTGTTATAAATGAATATATTTTGATACCGTTTTTAGCTTTTGTAATGGTTTTGTATGGACCATTAAAAAACACAAAAATCTCAAATTCGATAAATTTTGCCATAAGGTCGATATCTATCCGACGAGGCTCATATATATATATATATAGATACCAAACAGCCTAATATATCTGTTTCATATTTAGAAATTTTTATCAGAAAAATAAAATTAATGAAACCAAGCCACCCCCCCCCCGCAATAATAATAAACGTGATGATTTTAACTTCTCCAAGATGATTTAATACAAAAAAACTTGCTTCACTTACGAAAACAAATTGTAAGGAAGATTTTTACTCCATTATGGCACAAGATCTCTCATTTGATATTTTGTTTTGTTTCCGCTTTTACTCTGTGCCCGATTTGAATATCAGTAGTTTTCTGAAGTTGTTTTCTGAGGTTTGTTTTCTACAAACTTTGTGTAAAAATATGAACTTTTTTCATCACAATCAACAACTGCTATAGAATGTAATTTAATGAATTGCTGTAAATTGTTTACATTTTATCAATATGCATGTGACTGGTTCGGTTTACTCCCTACGCCTCTTTTCGGCGCTTTGATTGATTGATTGATAGTATATTGTTTAATGTCCCTCTGAGAATTTTTCACTCATATGGAGACGTCACCGTATGCCGGTGAAGGGCTTCAAATTTTGACCTATACTCAGCACTCAGGGCCATTGAGCAGTAAGGGATCTTTATCATGCCAACGCCTGCCGCTGACACGGGGCCTCGGTTTTTAAGATCTCATCCGAAGGACCCGCAACTTTCACTTCAAATTGCTAGCGCCTGACTAAGGAACAGTTGCTGCCTTCTTTTAACGACTAGGTCAGTCGCGGCCGAGATACGAACTCACGACCTCCCGATCACGGAGCGAGCGCTCTACCGACTGAGCTACCGTGAACGGTTTCGGCGCTTTGATAGTATACTCAGAATGATTAAGTGGACAGTTTATTGATTGATTAATAGTATATTTTTTTATGTCCAATTCCAAATTTTCAAAAATATATACGTGACGTCACGTAAACCGTTGAATGGCGTCACGATTTTTCCTTTACTCGGCAATCTGGTCCATTGAACAGTGTGTGATTTTTATCGTACTAACGCCAGCTGTGATACATGGACTCCTTTTTTAAGGTCTTAATCGAAAGACGAAACACCTTTCATTTCAAAGTGCAGCACATACGGCAGAAAAACATTTGTTACCCATTTTTTCATCGACTTAAGTTGGTTGCGGCGGGGATTATAAAACACGACATCCCGAATCGCACGGACTAAGCTACCACGAACGATACTTAGAGTGAGAAAAAAAAATTCCGGGTGGAAATTGAAATCTTTCTGTCGGAGTGAATTGAAGGGTTTAATTAAAAAGACATCTACACAATATTTAAATTTGATATGTAAACTTTAATAGCATTAAAAATAAAAAAAGGAACTTTCAAAACTCTCCACCGAATGGACCCCTCACTGGATTCTTTTTAATATTAAGGGACAGATAGAGAAAAAAGAGAGAAAGAGAAATAGAGGGAGTAGTGATTAAAAAAAAAAGTTGAACACACCGCACAGTGAAAGATAAAAAATATATGAACCTAACAAGTATGTGAAAAAAATATAAAACAGAGACTTCTCGAAGCTAGTATCAGGTGCTTTGGATGAGTTAAAATACCCAAGAACTTACCAGTTTTGTAAAGCGAGGCATGTTACTGACTAACAAAGTGATAAGAAGGGCTTCAAGAATTTCTAAGAGCCCTGTGAATTGGTAAAGTATAAACTGCACACTGTCAGTTAGATGAGTATAAAGTCAAAGATTTATATTTTAATATGAAACAACTGAGACAAATTAGGATTCAACGACCGGCTGTATTTGTTAACAAGGTTATTATATAGAATTCACGACAACCTGACATTCAACGAGGATATTGTAATCTTTATAATCGCTTTGTCAGTCAGTAGCATGCTCCACTTTACAAAATTGGATAACTCTTATGTAACTAATGAGTTAGGTGACATTAACACAATAACCACTTGGTGATGGAATTTCTTTTATCAAAAACATGAAAAAGGAGAGTTGACAATTGAAATCCGAAGTAGCCTCAATTGATTCTCATATAATATAATTACCATTTAGCCCTTTCCTTTGTAAACAATATGAATAAATACAGTAAAATGATAAATAAAAAGCCCACCTTTAACCATGATATTTTTCTCCTTTGTATCGTTCTTCTATAATGGTATGACAGATATCAGGTGTATTGGGATTTTATTCAAAGTAGAATGTAATATGAGATCAACAATAAGGAAAAAGCAACCACACACCTATATCACGTGACAACAAATATTGAATAAAAGTAAACAGCAAGTTGACACCAGACAAAAGTATATATCAAAATGATGACAAACAAAAGTTTGAATTCAGTTCGAAAAGGACAAACAAAAGAAATGTGTCTTAAAGACATATTAGACACACGATTATTTCTATCAAAACAATAGTAAACAAAAGTGGGGAATAAATATCAAAGACAAGAAAATATTAAGTAATTCCCTGACATCAGTAAAACAATATATAAACTCCACTCAATCCTATGTATCGAATGAATTTCACACAAAAGGAAATATAAAACGGAATCTCACAGTTTTTATATGAAGTGGACTCCACTCAAATGTTATTATTATATCTCATATGAATTATTAAAAGTTAAAGGAATCTGACTGGCGGAGGCAGTCACGTGACCGTCGTGTTCGCCCTGCATCGTGTTTTACGATTGTGACTTCACAATGCAACGACTGATACGCAGGTAAAATTGCAGCGTATGTTCAATTTTGGTTGCACACACGTTTAACATATGTTCGCCATAAAAAAACGAGCCACATATGATTAACATATGTTTTGAAACATATGTTGATTATACGTTAAGCGTATGTTATTCATATTTTTGCATGATCTTATGATCAACATACGTTGATGTTCATATGTCAAAATCATATTACCATACCTTATTCATAAGCTTTATTCCCATATGAATCACACATAATATTCATTTTAAAAAATCTTTCGGTTGGTATTTTTAAAAGTCTGTTTATGTGGACACTGCAAAGATGAGAAAATGTGGTCGAAGCACCTCACAAGGACAAATACAAGTTTTATCATACCTTTTAATGAAATCTACCACGAGTTCAAATTAAGTTTGTTATTGTTTCGTTTATTTTTTTCTATTTCTAAGTACATGTTACAGTCATTATTCATTTTCGCTAAAATATGAACAAAACATTTAAATTCAAATTCATTTAAAACGTGTATGCACAGCATGTGAAGAAAAAAAGATTATTTTATGGAGGGCTAGGTCTATTTAATACGCATTATTTTTTTTTAAATGAACAATAACTGTTCAGGAGCCTTAATATTGGCATTGCTCCAAGTCATGATAATTTTTCATTTTTAGTCAATGTTCAATAATGTTTCTCTAAGTAAACGATGCTCCAATTTCTAAAAAAATGTCTTAATAAAAAAATCGAAGATGTTTTTAAAAGAAATACAATTTTTTTTTTGGGGGGGGGGGGGCTCTCACTGGCTTAGTAGTAATGAGGCATTAAAACATATTAAGAAGACATAGTCAAATAAAACTTACATATGATGGTTTTAGAAATTCTATAGTATTTTTTTTTTAATTTTCAATTTAAGATGAATATTATTTAGATGAAATGTTGTTATGCTTTTATCATTGAAAAAGCATGTTGTATTTATCAGTTAAACTTTACATCACGTTGATCCAAACCATAGAAGCTAAATGTTCACGTCTGAAGATACTGTTTTATGTTTATTTAAGTTGTTTCTCGTGGAAACAAAATGCCTGATCAATTTAAAATATATTTCCTTAGTTTAACACCCCCCATTGTAAAAATAAACATTTTTTGAATAAGGACCAACTACTATATAAGTCTGTCTTAATCTTTGAAAACAAACTGGAGTCAGTTAACAGAACTCGATAAAATAGATTGACGTATGCAATACACCTTGATTGAATTTTTATTGAGTCTGGAATAATGCACGCATTTATCATAGTTTTGTATTCTACGTGTAGATACAAGTTTAAGAACACAGATACCTTAGACATGAGTAATAACAGTATTTCTCGATTCATTCAAAAGAATTAATCAGTTGTTTCATTTGTATTGTTGTTGCTTATGGAGTAATTTGAAAATGTACAACCTCCAATGTCTTTAACCGTAATAAAAATTCTATACATGTATGTGAGTGTAAAATGACAAGGCTGATAAACAATTACATCACGTCTTCCGGGCAAAAAACACACATTGATGAGATATTTTTTTCATACAAATGGACATTTTCACAACCAATCAAGCAGAACGTATTCCATATGTAACGGTTGTTATTCTCATATAGTATTTTTTTCATTCTTGATATCTTTTAAGCCCGAACTAAAACATTGTGATAGTGAAAAACTGGCGTGTGAAGAAGTTTATTAGAATTTTCATACTCTGCAGCATCTACTCGTGTCTTTATATTTCAGAATGTTGAATACTCTGTAGCCATATTCATTCCAAAATTCATTATGCGAAAGAAAAGCCACAAAGTCCTCCATGAAATAAGCCATCGTTAGTGGTGAAGGAATATGCTTAACAAAAACTTCTCTGCAATGACGTTCGTTGATATCGGCAAGAATGGTCCAGAACTTGACAAAGTCATCTTCACTCATGATGAGGTTTTTCTTTTCATAATCCTCCGTAGAGAAGAAATTGAAGAATCCTGTAACCATTGGTTTAAGTTTGCTTGCCATTTCATGAGGAGGAGCGCTTGATTCCAACCAAGATATGTAATCAGTCATTGATATGCTTTTTCCAGGACCACTTTTAAAAATGTTGTTGTTCCACCATTTCTTTTGTTCTTGAGCAGACAAAGGAGTATTTCTGGCACCAACAAGTCTACGAATCTGTTCCAGCTTGGCGTTAGTCCTTTCCATGTCATCAGCGCTGATGACGCCATCTTGGTCTGCGTCAAGAAGCCTGACCCATTGACGCCATTTACGCCGTAGAAACCATTTTTCTATACAACGAAATTTCAAGAACATAACATTTCCTTTCTTTCTTTAAAAATTGTAAAAAATAAAGCTGTATGAAGGTTTTAAATTTAAAATGGTTTATTGTTTCGGATTGATTGGATAATTAATATGGATATAAAAAAGTTTATGGTAACGTTTTAAAATCTTTTTTTTTTCCAAAACAAGATCGAAGCCACAGCATTGAAGGAATTGAAAAGATATGAAACGGGACACATCTTGTTTCGATCAAAACATAACATTTGAAAGTGCACATTAATCTAGGCACAATTCTTAACTTATTCATAGAAAAACAAATGCAATTGCAAAAATTACAGTATAATTATTGTTACGAAGGTAATACGTACAGAGAAAAACCATAGCTTGTTTATAGAAGAAAGACCAAAGTCAAAATTATAGTTTAAGTATTGTAACAAAGAAAAATATACAAATCTTACTATTTTGTTCTGGTATAAAGATCAAGGCAATCAAGACGTAAAGAGCGTACGGCATTAACACAATCAGTTCTCCTATTTTGGCATTATAGTAAAAGCTGTAGAAATCTGTGTCGCACTTAATTATATACGTTTTATTTTTTTCTGTTTCGTTTCTTTCGTCATAAAAGTGGAAAACTTTCGTGGCTCCTGTAAAAAGAAAGAACACAATGAGATGAATTAAGTCTATACAATAATATTTGATTCTTCCCATAAAATGCGTGCATTTAATGATTTAAACCAACAGACTAGCAGATGTCCTTATTTCATTACGAAAGATATCGGTAGTCGCTTCTTAAGGGGGATGTACGGCCACCTTTAGTGCAGTGAACGCAAAATGTAAACATTTCTTCAAATGGCTAAAATACATTATATTTTGATCAAATTTTAAGTCTTTTTGATAAAGATACAATAAATATACATAACCGAATGCATGTTGTGCATATATAATCTATACTTTTGCAGAAAAATGCTTTTGATATGCACCTTAGAACTGCGCAGCTACAGAATTCAGCAGAGCCTTAAAAAATCCAAAAAAATATGCAAAATTAATGTTCTCTCTACAACCATTTGTTGAGAAAATGTCTAAATTTTGCACTTTTAAATGATAATTTCAAGTTCAAAACAAGGTACCATTGTCTTCAAAAAGAGTGTAAAGAACCATGAAAGTAGTTCATGGATAGCAGCACGTGGTCTATTTTTAGCACCGAATCTTGTTTTCCAGACCTCTTCTTAATATGGAGGGGCATAACAATCTTTAAATGTAGAAGAGAATTACAGTTGCAAAATATTTCAAATAATATGAACACTTTAAAAAGAGGAAAGGTGTTATAGTGTGGCTTGAAGTAATTTATTTAGTTTGAACATAAATTTTTTTTTTCTATTTGCCCATATTTTCAAAATTACTGACACGCAAAAGAAACGCAACACCCTATTTTAGGGGGAAATAATTATGTAAAGTAAAGAATTTTGTATCTTAAAATTATGAATATCTTCAATTTGGTAAACATCAGTAAATTAACGGTTGAACGATTTCCATACCATAACCGAAAGTCAAGTTTTAGTCTGCTTAACAGAAATCAAAATTTGCATGTTTAACAAAACATTTGGCAATATTATGGAATTTTAAGGGTTTTTTACTGTTCATCATATAAAATAATGCAGCAATATTTCAAAAAATAAACTCTACTTTCGTTTCCCGAAACAATGCTAAATCTACTTAAAAAATGGCTTATTTACGCATTTCCATTGCTCTAGCTGGAAAATTTCAATGTAAAGGTGATGGAGAGTTGCTGATGCGAAAT